AATTTGCTTTGACGATCCCATCCTGTTCTTTTCTTCGGGGCACACAACATGGTGCTTGAGGAGTGGAGTACAGTTAGCAGGAGAAGTTTACTTCCGGTTCGATGGTAGTAACTCGTGAAGTTCATAGAAATAGATTTTAAAAATGGTTGCTTGCGAGTTTTAGAAACTTTGCTTTTGGAAGTGGATCTAGAGATGAAACCGTGGGTACCAATCAGAGTCTCGTGTTCTGTTGTTGAAAGTGGTTTGTGATTTTAGTGAGCATTAATGTAGGCCAGGCTCTTGAGGGACACGGCTGTAAGGAAAACACACTGTAACAATTTGCTGGTGAAAAGACAACTGATTGATCAGTTAAAAAACAGCTTTCTTTTTCAGCAAAAAAGTGGCTGCAGAAACACAAGGAAGGAAACTCCTGCAAGCGTGTGTTGCTTTTTTGATGCTTGAATGTAGGTTGATAAACGGTCAGATGCTTCCTCTTGTCAAAAGATTGAAAGGGTTCTCTATACAAAATGTTCCATGTTCAGTCCCAGGCATCTCTAAGCAAAATGCCTGTCTGAAGCAGGAATCTTAACCATCTAGAACTTTTTCAAAGTATTTTCAAACATTTCTGTAGCTAGGACTAACACTGCTAGCATAGTATTGTTAGCCGCTTTATCATGGACAGCATCTTTTAAAACAGCCCCATGGAGACAGGTAGTCCTCAACTTACAACAGTTTATTTAGTGACCCTTCGAAGTTACAATGGCACTGAAAAAGTGCCTTATGACCATTTTCCACACTTAGGTCCCTTGCAGCATTTCCTCATGGTCATGTGATCAAAATTCAGCCGTTTGGCAACTGACTCATATTTATGATGGTTGCAATGTCCCCGGGGTCATGTGATCTCCTTTTGCGATCTTCTGACAAACAAAATCAATTGGGAAGCCAGATTCACTTAATAACTGATTCGAAAGGTTGTAAAATGGGGCAAAATTCACTTAACATCTGTCTTGCTTAACTATAGAAATTTTGGTCTTAAGTCAAGGAGTACAGTATCTGTAATGTTAGCGCCTTCATCATGGACGATATCTTCCAAAACAGCTCCATGGGATATTTAACTCCTGTTCAAACGTATCCCTTTTGTGGCATGACAAATAATACTTTCTTTTTTTTGGCGTTTTCAGGATTGGCACAGCTGCACTGGCAGTTCAAGTGGTCGGCAGCAACTGGCCCAAGCCCCATTATACGTTGCTATTAACGGGCCTCTGCAGGTTCCAGATTTTGCAGCTGGTGAAGGAAAAACCTTATCCCGTTGCGGACGTTGAACAGTTGGATCGGCTAGAACAATTTACCAACAAGTCTGAAGAGGAGCTGGGAGAGTTGCCGGAGCAATTCTATAAATATGCAGTGCAGGTTAGGTGCCTTGAAATGGTGCTAAATATCTAAATATCTGTTGAGGAAATGATAGCGCTCGCTGGGTGTAAAGGAATTGTGGCTCACTAGCAAAGTCCGTGCTTTGTTGCTGATGCAATGTTAGTTGTTTACTTTTCCTGTTGCAATGCTCTCATGCATTCGGGATGAGGAGGACCTGTTTGTTTTACTGATATCATTAACCATATATATATGGTTAATATATATATATATAGAAATTTGGATTGCTAACAAAGAATTAAGGGAGAACTGGAATAGCTATTTCGAACTTTTTAGTTCTTATCAACCAGACATACCCTTCTGAGATTCGAACCTGGGCTGTCTTAACCTGGGCTGTCTTAAGCAGCTGTGTTAACCTCTAGGCCAGAGGCTCTTTCTCACTTTGTCAGCTGTATTCAACTTCCCTGGCTTCAACAGTGCTATTAGTATTACCTTATGTTACAGAAAGAAAAACAGAAACTTAAAATACATTCTATAACAGGACAGAGTATAACAAACTGTGCGTATAACGTCTGTAAATTTTTTGATATTTCTTGTTTATTTCTTGAAGACATTTTGCTTCTCATCCAAGAAGCTTCTTCAGTTCTGGCAGTCAGAACTTACTTTGCTGATAAAGCTGTTTGAGGATGAGATTCCTGCCCTCATGCTCAAACAGCCACTTGCTTGCCTCCAGGAAGAAAAAGTTTCACTGGTGCAAAGTTTGAATCCAGCAGATAGTTGTGTCCGAAAGGTGGTCAGATGGCATAGAAAAAAAAAACATCCTTCAGATTTCACAGGCTTCTTGACCATTCTTCTGTTGGTTGGGCAAGTCACTTTGGAACAAACGACCTTGGCACCACTGAAATTCAGAAAATGGAGGGGTCCTTTTCTTTTTGTCCTAACCAGTAGCGTTGGTTTATCGTGCTGAGTGATACAAATGACTTTTTTTTTTCTTTTAGTGACTCTAATCCCTTGCATCGGGATGGAGTCTGGGCGACTGAGTGGAGCCGAGTGTTTACTGATGATACGAATGATACTAGTGATATGAAAGAATAACCAGTGTTAAAATGTTGCTTTACATTTTTACCCCATCTTTGACAAAGCTGGTTGAGATGTTGGATATGTCCATCCCGGCGGTGGCAAAACTGAGACGCTTGTTGGACAATCTACCCAGAGAAGCTCTACCAGATATAGTCACCTCGATCATCCGTACCAGCAACCGGGAGAAACTTCAGGTATCAAGCACTGCTTCCA